TCTACTTTCTAAAACTCTAATCATCATCGCACATCTGCTTCAATCTTCTCTCGTCTGTATCCTTCGTTTCGGAAAGGTCCGAAGGAACAATGACCGACAGTACAGATAAGACAATCAAACTATCTGGGATTACTCCACTCCGTCCCCCCGGTGACGACTCCAATTATCTCGATTGGGAGTTTAAAATCGAACTTGCTCTTGAAGATGCCAAGCTCTCGTACGTCCTACAGCCCATCGTAGCGAAGGACCGTCCATCAGGTTGGGATGTCGACAACACCAAAGCCTGTACCTTGATCTCGAGGTCTATCGAAGACGGTAACCTCAAATACATCAAGCCGCATCGAAGAGATGCAGCAGGGATGTGGGGTTCACTACGTCTTGCGCATGAGGACTCCACGTCTGGAGGCCGCATGCATCTCCTTCACCGTCTCATCACTACCCGAATGGATGGTGACAATGTCATTTCTCACATCGACAAGCTCCACACCGTCTATGAACGTCTCGACTCTCTGATCACGAGCGAATCTCCTCTCACCGTCGATGAAATCTTCACCACATCTATTTTAACCTCTCTTCCGGTTGACTGGCTGCCCGTCGTGACTCCACTTATGCAACGCACCACCGTCAACTCAGCTACCGTCATCCGAGCCATCAAAAATGAAGTGACCCGACGTAAGACCTCGCTTGATCAATCATCTGAAACTGTTGCAGCAAGAGCAAACGCAACTCGAGCTTCCGGTTTTCGACCTCAGTCTGGTCCATCACGTAATACTAAGTTCTGCACTTACTGTAAGAGACGTAATCATGAGGTTGCGAACTGTTGGATAAAAGAAACGGATGAAGGTCGACCGTCCTCCACTTCTTCTCGAAGGGGTGTATCATCTCGAGCGTCAAACAACTCCTCTCGTTTCACTACCAAAGCTGGTAAGACTTCGGTGCTTACTCTCGACTTTAGCGATGATGAAGAAGAATCAGTCAACGAAGAAAACTTCGTTCAAGTCAAATCCGCTAAAGTTGTCTCCGCCAAAGCTGTGAACGTGTCCGATTGGAATATTGACTCAGGTTGTTCGCTTTCAATGACGCCACATGAATCATCTATCACCGGTCTTGAAAACTCGAAGAAAGTCATCCAATTAGCCGACTCATCATCTATTAAAGCTACTCACTCTGGAACAACTGTCTTACCTATGAATGGAAATGATCACCATCACCGTACTCTACTTGTTCCAGCGCTTCAAGAACCGCTTCTCTCAGTTTCTTCAATCTGCGATGATGGTTTCATACTCGTGTTCAACAAATCCTCTTGCTCATTCTATCGAGCTGACGATGTATCCATCACCTCAGCACCGGTCAGCACTGGTTACCGAAGAGGCAACTTGTACTACTTGGCTGCTAAGGTAGATGAACCATGTTCAAATTTGGCTTTGGATAAATTTTCTGATTCCACTCTTCTTCACTGGCATCGAAAACTAGGTCATATAGGACTCAAATCGCTGAAGAAACTTCTATCAACATCCGGGATCAAGCCTGATATCATGAATGAGATAGATGTTCAAAGGTGTCCTGTGTGTGTCAAGTCCAAGATGGCAAGAAGCTCCTTTAAATCTCGCTCAGACCACAGATCCACGTCTGTAGGTGCTCTAATTCACTCCGATGTGTGTAGTTTTGAGGTGTCATCGCGAGAAGGATATAAATATTTTGTAACTTTCATCGACGATTACTCAAAGTTTACTATCATGTATCCCATGAAATCTAAGAGTGATGTCTTTTCTTGCTTCAAAGCTTTTCGATCCAAGTTTGAGCTACACCTATCCGCCTCCATCAAGAAACTGCGAACAGATAATGGAGGGGAGTATCTATCAAAGGAGTTTTCATCCTACTTAACGGACTGTGGCATTGAGCATTTTCCCGGTCCTCCTCATTCTCCTCAACTAAATGGCGTGTCTGAAAGGGCAAATCGCACTATCAACAATCACATCCGATGCTCCCTTCTCAGTTCAGGTCTTCCCAAAAGCTTTTGGGTTGATGCCTTACGCTTTCTTGCTCATTCTCTCAACTCTATCCCCTGTTTCACTCCTTTGGGTTTTAAGTCTCCTTGTTCTCTCGTCTCTACTTCCCCAGTTGACCTGTCCAAACTTCATGCTTTTGGTTGTGAGGTCTACTTTAAAGTCCCTGAAGCAAATCGTCTCAAACTCGATCCCAAAGCCAGGCGTGCTGTTCTTCTGTCATACCTTCCTGATGGAAATGGTTACAACTTATGGGACATCACCAATAAGAAGGTGGTCAAATCTAGAGATGTCATCTTTAATGATGATGTCTTTCCATCGCTCGAAAAATCTCCTCCCTCTCCGTCCTGTAATCCACAAGTAGAAATACCGTGGCCTTCATCTGAAAAGCATCCTCCGTCTCAGAGACATAGACGTCTGTCAACATCCATCCATAATCCATCTCGTAAACCACTCAGCCCATCCTCGTTCTCAGTCTTACCAAAGACTCCTCCTTGTCAAACTCAAAACACAGATCTTAATACCTCTACCATTTCTCCTCCTATTGTGTCTTCTTCCTTGTCTCCCTCTGTTGTGGTGCGCACTCCTTCAATTGACATACCTACTCGTACGAGGCCATCGCCACCAAACAGTGTAATCCCTACTAGGCGTCCATCTACTCCCCCACGAAGAAACCCCTCTCGCTCGAAGAAGATCTGCAATGTTACCTCACCACCTCAACTGTCTCCTGATCATGCTCCTCAACCATCCTCCTCTCCTCGAAATGAATCTCCGTCTCCGCAAGCCAAACCTCCATCATCTACGGTCCCAGGCCATTCAAAACCTCAACCACAAGAAGTCATCAAAGTGCTGAGTGAGGCTGCCCCATTACCACCGAGAAGGTCCATTCGCGCTCGCAACCAACCTCAACGACTTGGCAACTTTGTGAACCTAGCATCCTTGACTGAAGACGCATGCGATACACCGAAGACGTGGAAACAGCTACTGCGTTCGCCAAACAAAGACCGATGGCTCAAGGCAGCTGACACGGAGTACTCCTCACTAATTGGAATGGGTACGTGGCGTTTAGTTCCTCGTCCGGAAAAACGTAAAATCATCAAATCCAAATGGGTATTTAAGGTGAAACGTCGGGTCGATAATACCATCATCAAATTGAAAGCTCGTCTGGTGGCAATGGGGTATGCTCAAGTCGAAGGAATTGACTATACAGAAGTCTTTGCTCCGACCACTAAGTTGGAGACTCTCCGCCTAGCTCTCTCCCTCATGGCATCGAAGAGGTGGTCTGGACGACAAGTTGACATCAAGACAGCTTTTCTGAACGGGCATCTTGATGAACCCGTTTATATGTCTCAACCGCCAGGTTACGAAGATCCCAATAATCCGGATTGGGTTTGTGAAGTTATCCGATCAATCTACGGTTTGAAGCAATCTCCGAGGCAGTGGAATCGGGAGTTGCATGCTGTTCTCATCACGTTGGGTCTTCAACAATCATCCTATGACCCCACTCTCTACTTTCGTCTCAAGGACAAGAAACTGGTTGGAATGGTCACCGTTCACGTCGATGACCTTTCGGTTTTAGGTCCCGATGACTTTGTCAACTCCTTCATCACCGATCTCTCCTCTCGTTTCGAAATCTCATCAAACGAAGAACTTCATCATTTCTTATCTCTCGACATACGACGAGATGTGGATAAGAAACTGGTGTTTCTAAATCAAGCACATTACATCAAAGAGTTAGGTGAAAAGTTCTTGCCATCAACTCATGTCTCGATTCACACACCTACCGACTCCAATTTCAAAGATCTCATGCCTCGACGGGAAGATGAGCCAAAGTCGAGTGGCCACTACCAAAGTCTGATTGGCGCCCTTCTATGGGTGGCTCAATGCACAAGAGCCGACATTTCATTCGCTATCAGTCGACTATCACAGTTCCTGCGTGATCCTTCGGAGTCTCACTGGCTTGCAGCAGTACGAGTGTTAAATTATCTTCTAACAACATCTCATCTCAGGCTCACTCTCGGAGGTACACCAACTATCTCTGGTTACTCTGACTCGGACTGGGCCGAGGACAGGCACGATCGTAAATCAACATCTGGCTACACCTATCGTTGGGGCCAAGGAGCGGTCTCGTGGAAGTCTCGCAAGCAATCGACGGTCTCTCTCTCAAGTACAGAGGCCGAATATAAAGCGCTATCAGATTCAAGTCGTGAGGGTATCTGGCTAAAGAACCTATTGTCTGAACTCCACATCAATGCGCCGTCAGCTATCCCTCTTCATGTGGACAATGAAGGAGCGGAAGCACTGGCAAAGAACCCTCAGCATCATTCAAGAACAAAACATATACACACAAGGTATCACTATGTTAGAGAATGTGTTCAAAACGGGTCAATTCAAGTGAAGCATGTAGCTTCAAAGGACATGTTAGCTGATATGCTGACAAAACCTTTAGGACGTGTAATGCTACAGTCTCATCGAACATTATTTGGCATTGTGTGATTTTCTTTCTTTCTCTTTTCTTATTTAACATTATGTTGATTTTTTTTTTTTTTCTCTCTTTCTTTCTTTATCTTAAATTTTTTTTTTCTCTCTTTCCTCCTTCAAACATTATTGATGTACATGTTGTACGCAAGGGGGGGTGTTGGGATAGTCCTGCATGACTTTTAATTCTTTATGTAAAAGTCCTGTGAGACTAACCCATGATACGTAGAATCTAAGTGTGTGCTCAACAAACATATTACATCATGTGAAAACCGTTATGTAAAAGTTTCACTATATAAATCCTACTGGAGCAGTCAAGGAAAGGTGCTTCTTCTTCACCTTTCCTTTGTCTCTTTCTCTGACTGTTCCAGGTAGGATTTCTCTCTGTTTTCTGTTTCTCTGTTTTTTGTCTGATTTAGTCCGTGAAATTTACACACCTTTCCTTTGTCTCTTTCTCTGACTGTTCCAGAGCTCAAGACACTTGCCTTGCTTCAGCACTATCAAAGTTGTAGTTCCTTAGATCATCTGAAAAATTTCCGGGAACACCCATCTGGCGTAGCAAATCTTGCAGCTTGGTGAGAAATTCATTCGGACCTCGCGTGCGAGTCTGAGGTGTTTGCTGCGGAAAATCTTGCATCCAGATGGACTATATCAAGGATGAATCAAGTCGTCCGATTAGACCAGAGCGCGAGGAAGAGTTTTCAAAAATATTTACATACATTTTCGAGCGTCTGGTAATCAAATTCAACTGGGTTCCCCGTCGATATAGCCACACGAACTCGATCGGCGAAGTAGATGATGAAGAACTTCACGTGCATCGCCCCATGAGCTAGGCTTCCTTTGGCAGTAAGTTTCATCGGTGGATGACAGAGAAATGTATTGGGGCGCTGTTTGAGTTTGAACGTGCCAGCGTCTTTGTCGTGTTTGATGATGAGGAGCGGAGTACCCGGATCGAACAAACCACGTAGCCAGCCGATGTCAACAACATACCCGCTCACCAAAGCCTTGGTGACTTTGTGTTTCTGAGAGTACCAGGCTAGAGGTCAGCTATCCAGCAAGAGCTGTGTAGGTAGTAAAAACTTGGGGCAGACTGGGTAAATGATATCCTCTGCACGTATAGCATCCTGCGAATCAGAGTGCCATTCATTGTAACTCAATTTAATAACTCCCTTCCAATACCCCGATGTTTCTAGTTTGGTGTTACTGGTGCTACTGGTGATTGACTGTTTTGAACGGCTGTTGGAGTCGAGCGAATGCGTTGGGGCCACAGTCTCTTCAGGAATAGGAGAAGATTTGTCGGATGAATCAACCAAAGTACTAGGTTTGACTTCGTTCTTATCGTCACGAGCCTTTCTTCGTGCCAATCGTTCAGCCTCAAGACGTGCTCGGTCTGGTATCAGATCCAGCAGGGAAGAACAGCCCGTGTTGGGTTCGTGGCGAGATTTCTTCTTTGGACGCGTGCTTTGTTCACCTTCATCACTACTGCTGTCTATGGATATCACTTGAGGCGTCTTGGCAGAAAGGTTGGAGGCCATCTTTCGTTTGTGCCGTTGACCGTGGGTACGAATTATCTCGTTGCGACTGGCGAAGGGTGGAGTAAGAATTGTTAAGCCAGCGAGAATTCTCAAAGGACCGCGTGACATCGCGCCTGTGAAGCGCCACGGCGCGACCGCGCCTTGAAGAAATTGGAAAAAAGGGGTGGGCGCGCCTTTTTGAGAATCACGACAAATCTCAGGAATTCTACATCCAATCACCAATATATGGGAGTTGTCAATAACAGTAGGAGGACTTCAATGACAACTATTTGTAATCTATCTTGCCTTCAAATGCAAAGCTGCTGCGGTAAATATTCTTCCAAACTTAGACTGTGTTCAAAGACTTTCACAATATTCATCTTCTTGACTTGAACCTTTATAGGTCAGCTTATATTTCCCAACAATCTTACCCAATTTGTTCATGTCTATTGCAATGATTGCGTTTCTCTTTCTTCATTGATCTCTGTAGGTTAGCTATTCTGGTAGTTAAGACAAGAGGTAATTGGAGACACACCTAGACATTTTTCATTGGTGCCCGCAGAGGCGTCCTCTGCAGCCTGCAGAGCTAATTATGAGCCTGTCTGACAATGATTTTCTTTGTTCAGGTAGCAGTGGACACATTCAGTGGCACTTGAGTGCAGCCCACATGTTACAAAGCAAAGCTATTCCAAAATCCTTTTTCATTCAATCATCTGCATCAAACATGCTCAAGATTCACTTGATCCTCCTTTTTAGTGATCCAATGGTGCAGTGATAAGAAATAAGCTTTTTTGGAGTAAGAGTGTTGATTTTATCAAATTGACTGGAATAACACTATAGCAGTGATGGGTTTTTTTCTCCACGCCTTATCAACAAATATTCTTCTCCTTTATCAAAGTCCCGGTTAGTTTTCTCTGGTATCAGGAGACTTTAACACCAAAGTTCACTATGTTGAATATTCTCAGAAAGAGCTGTCTCAGACACCTCCTGTAAAAGTCATTATATCTACAAATTATACTCTTTCAAGCAATGCATAGCCATTTTTGTGGTTTTATTACCACACTGGCTGAAAGGATCTGAGAGCGCCATAAACTGGGCAACCCATGTCTAATGTAAATCACATACATCTGTCACACATGTTGTTTTGCTGAAACAAACCAGTACTTTGGAATATTTTCTCCTGCAGTTTTGACTTCAACTTCTCAATCTTGACTCAATTATCTATCTGTTTGACTCAGTCTTATTAGCTGCCTGCTTATCAACTTGATTTTTCTCTCTGTTTTGATTCCATTTTTTTGTTTTCCACAAATTTTCTACATTGCTTGCTTCTTAAGCTTTGAGCTGTTCCTTCTCATTTGAAGATTTCTCTTCTACTCTACATTCCCTATGTATTCTATGCTCATACTACAATAATAAAATGCTGGTCAATATTAAAATACACCATCATGATCAAAAACATAGCATGTAGGCATAAAATTGTGGGATTTCTGCTTACATTGTAATTTATGCCTACTTTGCCAGTATGCATCTCACCTTGTTAGAATGGAAGTCCCTGCGCCAAAATCTATGTGCTTACATCAAGGGTTGACTGTAAGTAAAGTTGCAAAGTGTATTGTCTTTGAAACCCCTGAAGGTTGGAATTCAATCAAGACCCGTTCCAATTTTTAACACAGTCTCAATCACTCTAGTCCGCTTCTAGTGTGTCTTGACTCTTTATGTCAATACTGTCTCCACAATCATGGGCCAAATTTCATGTATTGTTACAGGTAGTTCTTGAATGAGTTTCAACCTTTAGTATTAGTACATTGATCAATATAGTTTTTTGACATACAAGAAAATACTCACAATGAAGCTCCAAGATCTAGGAAGAAGCACATTTTTTTTGTATCTTTTGTTCTCTTCCTGGTGCCTCAGTACTTAGCCTCTTGCTTGAGGCACAAAATGTAAGACCTGTCCATGGGATAGTAACATTGTAAGGAAGGAAAACAAAAAGAGAATGAGAAGAGAAAATTGTGACGAAAGCGGATATATTAAAAGAGTAAGCTGAGGCGCATTACATACAACAAAAGTTAGATCTAGTCGACTACAAGCCCACTTCTAGAATCTGTTGAATCTATCCAATTCTCCTCCTTTCTATTCTCCAGATATTTCCTTCACTAATACTATCCTAATTTCTCAATATAACTAATTTCATTTTCAATTTAAAAGACTTCTTAGCTAAAACAACTAATAATCCTTTTTTGACCTCCCATCCACCCAACAGGTTGATGATGAACATAGGGAGGTACCCTTAAATTGAGTGCAATAAATAGGAAAGGGGCGTTGAAGGAAGGTGGCAAGTGAATACCTAGATGACTTTCACCACCTTCAACGCCCTTCAATCAGATAACCAGGGCTCAGAAAGGAGAGTTCAACGGTGGAACTCTCCTTTCCGGGTCCTACCTCCCGCTATTTGACCTTCCCTCACCTAGAAAGAACTAGGCAAGGGAAGGATGAACCTTTTAAATTGCAATGTATTTGATGTTATGAGTTAAATGCATTTACATATCAATGGTTTTCTTTTCCACCCGGAACATGTTATATTTTTTGTAATGTCAAGAAGGTCAACAATTTCATGCACCAATTTTCAACTGCTCTTTACAGTGCATGTAAGGTATAGCAATCACACAAACATGAAATACTGCTTGCTCATCTTCAGGTTTCTTGATGTTTTTATGTTGTACATGAGGTACATTTGTAAATCTTATGTAATTCTTCATTGTGTAAAATCCAATTTTATTTCATTTGGTATGGTTTCTCTCATGAGTTAAATGAAAGTGCTAGACATGTTTCTTGTACATGGACATCTTGGTATATTCAAGGTTGTACAAATGTAATTTCTTTTTATTCTTTATCCAGCTAGTGTCTTTTTTCTTTTTTGCAATTTTGCCAATTTGATTGTCAGATCATTTGTCACGTGTATCTGGACGGATTAAGGGATGTGAAAGCAGGTACACTAGTCTAAAAGACATCTAACACACAACACCAGTAGGCTTTGGCTAGAAGAAATCAAAGATTTCAATGATGATATAAAGCCAAAACACAGATTCCCAGGAGATACAAGATATTTATTCAAAGATCTCAAGTTGTTCATACACATCCTATTGTCATTATGTCACTTTAGATGACTTTTTGGCAAAGGATTCACTTCTTGGATTCTTGTTCTGATAGGAGTCAAACAAACATGTAAAGTTTATGAGTGATAGTAAACTAGGATGGATTCAAAAAGTAAAGGAGGTAAGTCAAGGGTGGTAAACGGCCTATGACGTCAATCAAAAATATTTAGATAAAATAATCTGATGCACTGTTTTTCAACATTCCTATCTGTTGATAACAAGTGACCATTGGTCAAGTTAGGTGTTGCCTTGGCCAAGACCTCTGTGGACCTCGTCCAAAAAACGGGCTTTAGGTGTGCCTGCCAACCAAGGCTGCAACCCAACGTGCATGATGGGGAGGTGTTTGTAAAAGATTTATAGAACTCTGGAGACATTTCATGCTTGGTTCTGTTTGAATGAAAGGATACAAAATGAATTATAAAGATAGCATCCATCCAAGTGTGCTTCAGAAAAAGGAACATAAATGAAAGATCAAGTTTAAAAAGTTGATGTGAGCTAAGATGCTTGAGATGGGAAGAGACTAATCAAAGTTTGTTTGGCTAGCCATTCAGCTACATTTTGATAGAACACCATTGACCCATTCTGCCATTAGTCCATGAGTGAGTTTTTGCGGGTGTCTAGGGAAATAATTCTACAGAAGAGCATGAATTTCTCAGTAAGCATTTGAATACGTCGAAACTTAGTAAAGCAAGTCAATCATTTACGAGGTAAACATCTGGATTTGAACAAGCACCAGCCGTACTAGTGGCACTCTGAAGACATGAATCAGTGGATTGGTACCTATGGTCCAAAGTATTATGTTTCGTCAGATTAGCGGGTCACATGAAAATCTACTAAGCAAGATGTACTTACCCAAACGACTGAGGGTTGGCAGTGATAGCAGAGTAGAGCGTAGTGAAATCGACATAAGCAAATTGTATGGACGGATTTTGCGTTCTGAGGCTCTTCAAACCGGTCCAAATAATGTCATTGAACTGTGTCAGTGGGCCAGATATCATGGGAGGTGCTACAGGTAATCCCAAGAAGATTTGATCAGGCTCTATAAAAGTGGACAAGTGATGATCAGACACTGGGCTAACAAAGTACCACCACATTGCGAATGCCAGCTTGTAAGAGGCGTTCCGTTTGATGAAGGAGCTCCACAGCTGAGCTGGAGAGAGTTTGAACACCACGTCGCGAGGCTGAGGCCCAATCGTTGATTCCATAGGAGATCATCGCCATCGACCTTGTTCAATCAGACTGCATGAGTGTGATGTAAGTGCTTAATGCCAATGAGCAATCTCCATGACTCACGAAGCTGGATCGATGTGATTATGCTGATCCAAGAAAACTTGAACGTGTTCGATCATGTCCGTTCGTCGGACCTATCGCAAGGAGGAATTGTTGATCAAACTCACTTGACCAGTCAACAGAGAGATACTGAGGATTTTGATCTTACCCCATTAGGTGGGCTAGGGGAGAGTGCGATAGAGACTGGCGCGCCGCCCCTGGCATAATCCTTGACGAGAGCGCCGATCTGATTACCAAACTGTTCGATCCATACCAGACCATTAGAAATGCGCCCACTGGTGAAAATCAGATATCCATGAGCTTCAACCCATTCATCATTTGTGGCCAATTACTTGCCCGGACTCTAGGCCGTTGGGGCCTTGCACCGCTGGTGGTGCGGGGCTTCCAGTGGCTTGCCCATTGTAGACGTAACTATCGCCGAATCCATATATCGTCTGGGATAAAGTGCACAAACTTTGCATCAGTTCTGAGGATTTGGTTGGATGGTCCATTCCAAGTTAAAGATAGGACACCTTGATACTTCTCAGGTCGATGCCTGTATTGAAATTATTGAACTGAGGGAAGCCAAGCGCTCCGCAACTTGGTTGAACAGCCAGTTTTAAAGGATATGTGTTGATTTCTTGAGCTGCTCCATCGGAAAACAAGAACGTGAGCAGGGTAACCCCGAAGAAGAACATTGAACGAGACATTTTCCTTCACGCCAAGAAAAGTTTGAAAAATAATGATCAGTCGAAGTTTTCAACGTGATAAGAAACGGCCAAAAATTAGTATGGCTTTCCTCCCGATTTCATTGTGGTTGATATCCCTCTGAGCAATCGATGATTTTGACTCACGAGAGATTCCTAGTATCACCCGTAGAGTGTGCTATGTATCTACTCTGCAAGTTTTTCTAGCAAGAAAAGATCACAGATCCTTAAAACGATAGCAACCACGAGATGGATGGGATAAAGGCTTTTCAAAGAGGGTGCCCGATATCTGTCAAATCCAAAGGAAAAGGTGAAAAGTGAAAGATTCGCGAGGATACATCAAAGGTGCACAGATCACGCACACACTTGACCATGAATCGCCACCAATGGCTCACCTTGCAAGAGTCCAACTTTATCAACTCAACCAAGCTCCAAATGAAATACATCGACAAACACCACAGGACCGCCGTATTTTGGGAATGTAACGGGAAATGAATGTCGGAAATAGAATGTCCAAATTTAATGGTACATATTATCAGTGGCGTACCCATTCGACATTCACAGATACATGTATCAAACAGTGGCTATATTTCTTGGCGTGAAGGGTTGTAAAGAGGCATGTATACACTCTTGAACTCTTTACTTGCCAAATCACAGTTTTCAAATTTATGCAACTGGAGCTCGACATGTGGTACGTGTGGAAGGCTTCATTTAAGAAAACTTCAGGACGTGGCCGCGTGGGAAGAGGGGCTTAGTTGAGCTTAAATAAAGTGATACAAGAGGGTATAAAGGCCCATAACTCTAAGTCAATTGACCGAGAAACACACGGCATGACCTGAGATGACTTTGCAATTTGTGGGTCTGGAGAAGGAAGGGGAAGGAAGTTTGAGACAAAGGAATGTTTCCAACGATGACTTTCTTTGATGTAAAGTATACTGAAATGCTCGGTTCAGTTGAGATCTTTTATAGGATCATTTTCAGATATTAGCAATCCAAGACATCTGTGTAAAAGACTCTACCCTTTAGCACACTTGCGAGTATGTAGAAATTGTTCTGATCCACATCCGTTGATGATGTCACCGACACCAAATAGATTGTGATCCTCTTGAACTTGACGTAGGCCACTCCCTCTCTCAAAACGAGAGTAGCGGAGTGCAACTCTTATGACATGAAACTCGTTACATTTTATCAAATTTTGTTTCCTTGCGTTGTACATCCCACGATCCGTCAGCTTTCAGACAATTGAGGCTTACACAGAATTTGTAAAATACGTGAGAAAAAAGTGAAATTTGTTTGAAAGAAAGAATCTACACATTGATGAAGATGTAATGTTGAAACCATAGAAATATGAATGTATGCAGCAAGTTTGAAGGATCAATGTGGTGTATAAAGTTCTTATACGTATCAAAGGACACTTCATCAGGCAGTTTTCGAGGGACTGCATTTTGATAAAGCATCTTGCACCCATTCAGCCATGAGTCCATGGGTTAGTTTCTGCGGGTGACCGGGAAGGAAATCCTACCAAAAACATAAGGAGGTCAGAAATCGGGAAGAATACGTGAATGCTTCGGAAAGTCAAGTGCTTACGAGGTAAACGTCTGGATTTTTACAAGCACCAGCCATACTAGTGGAACTGGGAAGACATGAACCAAGGGCTTGATACCTGTTTATCAGACAGAGAGTTTTATATTGTCAAAATCGGGCGTCATAGTACAACATATCATATGAGATGTACTTGCCCAAAAGAGTGAGGATCAGTAGTGATAGCAGTGTAAAGCGCAGTGAAATCAACATAAGCGATTTGTAAGGAAGGATCTCGAGCCCTCAAAGCCTTCAAACCACTCCAAATGATATTGTCGAACTCTATAAGTGGATCAGATATGAAGGGAGGTGCTGGGAGTCGTTCCAGAAAGAGTTTATTAGGCTCGAAAAAGACGGCCGCTCTTCACAGTGATGATGGAAGAACTGACAAAGAACAACTACATTCCGCATTCCAGCGTGTATGATACGTTCGGTTTGACGAAGAAGCTCCTTGGCTGAGCTGGCGAGAGCAACACCACGTCGATGAGCTGAGGCCCAATCATTAATTCCGTAAGAGATCATTGCCATCGACCTTTGTTTAACAGATCTTATCAGTAAGAATACCGTAGTACATAAAAATGCACTACATTGCTCACGAAGCTGCATCGATGTGATTGTGCTGGTCCAAGAACGTTTGGACGTGTTCAATCATATCTGTTTGCTGAGCCTGTCAAAAACATTGAGCAAACCAAAACCGGTAAAGCAAATTACTTGAAAAGCAAAACAACAGAAATTTGGTCATGAGGGTAGTTATCTTACCGTGCTAGGCGAGAGTACGCGAGAAACTGACGCGCCCCCGACCGCATAATCCTTGACGAGAGCGCGGATCTGTTGGCCAAATTGTTCGATCCAGACCAGACCGTTGGTGGCCCGTTGGCTGGTAACAAAAATCACACTGGGTATAATCTTCTACTTCACTTGTAATTGATCACTGACCCGTATTTTGGATCGTTAGCGTCTCGCACCGCTGGTGGTGGGGGGCTTCCGGTTCGTTGTCCATTGCTCATGTAGCTATCACCAAATCCGTATATTGTCTGAAGAAATCATTTGCACACAGTCAATTTCAGCTCTGGGAGGTTGATTGATGCAAACAATATATATGACTCAAAAAACTGACTTTGATTCTTTTGAGGTTGATACCTGTGTTGAAGTTGTTGAAGCGAGACGAGCTGAGCGATCCGCATTTTGGTTGAACAGCCAATTTTAGGGGAGATGTGTCGATTCCTTCCACTGCTCCATAGGAAAGCATGGTCATGAGTAAAACAACAAAAAAAGAAAGCATCGGGCTGGTCATTTCGCTTGGGCGAAGCGAAAAAATTGAAAGACGATTATGAGTTGAACTTTTGAAAGTGACGAAAAACGGCAAAGGAAGAGTAATTGGTAGCTTGTCAGATGCGAATGAGGACCCAGAATCGTATGGGACCCACGAAATGGAAAATATATGTTAAGAAAGTGAAGGGTCTCAGATGCGTGAGGGCACGAATCACTCACATTCCCCTGCACCACGGATGACTTGTCTCGAAAGGACCCTACCTCACTGACACCATGTCATCAAATTCCCGGACAGTGGCGTACCACGTTGAAAACATCGGCATATCAAAGACTACTTGGCGTTCAGGGATTGCGAATGGATTGGCACTTTTTAACTCTTCATTGAACCTGAATACTCGATGACCTCAGGTCATGTTCACACTTCAGTAGAAATGGGTATAGGTACATCTATGGATAATGCAAGGCTTCTGGTGCGAAAACATTGAACAACAAGGCTCGTGAGTCGATTCACAGCACTGTGAATGTGTGGAAGGAAGCTTGAAGGCAAAGCAAAAAGGGGCCTGACCATAACATTTCTTGGCAGCTATCGAGATCTTTTTCTGAGGAGATATAATCTTGAGAAAAGAAAATCGTATCTTGAGTAAAGTAACAGAGTGTGAGAAGTGTGGGTGTGATCATACTTCGTTGCATACAGTTGTTTCTAGAGCTAGCTAAGCCGAAAGCACTTCGATCTAAAGCCTTTCCAAAGCTTCCAAGGGGGTTCCTTGGGCGCCAAATATCCCCAGTGGGATTATAAGCTTTTTTCATCTCTGCTCCTGCTGATCGAAATGAATGGGTGTTGTCTTCTTCAAACATATCAAACGCGGTCCTCTTCTAGGTACTGTCTTCCTTCTCCTCTCAACCTCTGCTCAAAACCCTATTGATAAAAGTGGTGCTCTTTGAAAGCCTTCAACTATCCCTGCCAATCTGAACAACAAAAATAGAAAAATGTCAACAAGTCAAGACTTCAAGTTCCAGGGGCTTTTCCATTCTATCATCCTCATAGCAACATCATTAAAAGAAAATCTACAACAAATGCTCTCATACAAATACGCATATACCATTGTTGTAAGTAAGTGATGATATATTCCACTCCAGGTAAAAGCCGTTCAGGAAAGCCTGACCATTTTTGCCCGAAAAACTCAAGCAAATTGGCTGCAGATTTGTGACGAGCTTCCCTGAGTTTTGCTGTACTTATCATTCAATAAAATCTTACCAAAACTTGCAGCTTTCTATATAGGTGATTGTAATAGCTCATGGTGATCTTCAAATGATGTATATTGAGATTTGGAGAAAAACACTGGAAATTAAACGCATCACCTCTGGTGCGGCCGGCATGAAATTCTCATGAAGAGAATCCAGCCATTCTTGAGTATGGTCACTGGGGTACAGGCCCCATAAGTACATCTGGTATGTACAGAAAAGCTTTGGAATTGCTCTCAGTTCAGCCAGAAACACAGAATTTTTGACTGACATAAAAAACAAATGGGAACAAACCAGGCATTCATGAACCAGTGAGGTAAAGGGATGCTAACCCTCTGATAATTTTTTTCAAGCATATATCGAATACAATAAGCCGCAGAGGGAAGCCACATGATAACCCAAGTATCTGAGAAAACAACAACAATGGACATCGTGAATATGATAAAGACTAAAATGATATAAATTTTATGACAAAGTTACAGAACAACATCCATCAAGGACAGTTCTCTGTCTATCTCTAAGATCTACAATTTGATAACACCCCCTGAACCCATTCGGCCATGAGTCCATGGGTCAGTTTTTGCGGATGGCGGGGAAGATAATACTGAGGGAAATCATCAAACACGTTACTTGAGTATCCATATCTTTATCATTGATGAGATTAAGTACTTACGAGGTAGACATTTGGGTTTGAACAAGCACCAGACATACTAGTGGCACTTGGAAGACATGAACTAGTGGATAGGTACCTATGGTAGAAGAGTCGTTGCTATTTGTCAAGATTGTGTCAGAAATAAATAGGAGTTTTAACACACTGACCCGAAGGAGCGGGGATTAGAAGTGATAGCAGAATAGAGCGCGGTAAAATCAACATAAGCAAATTGTATTGCAGGGTTTCTATTCCGAAGTGCCTTGAGACCGTTCCAAATGATATTGTTGAAGTTGACCAGTGGACCAGACATCATGGGTGGTGCTGCAGGTCATATGAGACATCATTCTTCAGTATACATGAATCGAGTGATGATTCAAAGGATAGCTTACAGAGAACAACCACGTTCCGAATTCCAGCTTGGACGAGTAGTTCGGTTTGGCGAACGAGTTCTTGAGCTGCCTTGGGAAGGTTTTGAGTACCATGTCGAGAGGATGAGGCCCAATCATTGATTCCGTAGGAAATCATTGCCATGGAGCTTTTTTCGACACGATCAGTCAAAAAATTGGCGCTCTACGGAATTGAGTCATTTTGTTAGGGATGTAAGTTTAACTCACGAGGACGCATCAACGTGGTTTCTCTGATTCAAGAAAGTTCGGACATGGCCGATCATGTCCGTTTGTGGAACCTATTGCCAGAGAAAGATGTTCGCGAGATTAAGCAAACGCAGTTGAAAAAGCAAGAGAGACTTACTTTCAGCTTACATCGCTGGGAGAGAGTGCCCGAGAGACAGATGCCCCCCCGGCTGCATAATTCTTGACAACAGCGCCAATTTGATTGCCAAATTGTTCGACCCATACCAGACCGTTCGAGGCCCGACCACTAGTGCAAATCAACTAAACATGAGTTGACTCATGATATAGGTTTGATCATTTAGAGTCAGTCACTTACCCGAAGTGTGGGTCGTTGGGATTCCTTTGTACGGCTGGTGCTGGGGTAGTCCCGAAGGTTTGCCCATTGCTCATGTAGCTATCACCAAATGCGTATATTGTCTGAAGTCAATCAATGCTATATTGTCAGTTCTAAGGTGCTGATTGTCACCACATCATATAGTGAAAATAACCTACTCTGATTCTCGACAGATCAATTCCTGAATTGAGATTGTTGAACTGAGACGACCCCAAAGAGCCGCACCTCGGTTGAGCCGCCAGTCTTAGGGGAGAAGTGTTGATTGATCCCTGTTGCCCTGGTCTAGGCATGGCCATGAGTACTAAAATCATAAGAAGGAACATCGGGCTCGTCATATTGCTAGCCTGGAGGACAGATAGAATATTGATTGTTAACAATTGATAATTATCAAGATATGAAAGGGCGTTTGTATCAGAGTGTTCGACTGAATGAGACACGGAAAAAGCTGTTGAAAATTTCGGACTGATCTTCGTATGCTTTATATCGCTACATAAGACGAGAAGATAGTCGAGAGGAAAGCATGGGGTCAGTGGGGTCACTCTGGTGATATCGTGATCTCCTGGAAAGACCTCAAATCGCCAGAACTTTGACACCGCGAGATGAAGAGATCAGGCCAGATCGAGAGACTCATCTCGCCTCATGAGATATCTGGTCACCTTAGAAGCACGTCAGCAAAAGAAGAGCAAAGATTGGCAAATGTGCTTCCTCACTCGCGATCACCACGGATGGTTTCCACCACCCCACAACATTCCTGAGTCGACCATTTTTCCAGTCGAGTGGATTCGACCACGAAAGGCCCTCGAATCTTTCGTCAATCTGGAAATCGGATTACGGATTTGTGATCTACAAAGGTCGGCGCATGAATGAGGCGTGCAATCTGAGTTGCAGTGGTATACGTGCTTCCCGTGGTGTATGGAAATGGTGGATACTGGATGGGCAAAACTCATCACGCCGGACACTGACTTTGGATCTCGCTCATGGGGACCTGATCTTGCTGATTGTCCGTCTGGTTGATAACAAAGCCCCGCGAAGCACAAGGCACTTCGTCGTGGTCGTCTTTGCTTCACAAGCGTCGCAAAAGCTTTGTCACACACCTCACGATGTGAATTTTTCAAATCAAGGGTCAATTTTTGAACTTGATGCTGAAGAGGACAATTGAAGTGCAATCAGTATGTCATTTATGCATTGAGCCCGCTCGAGGTGGAAGGAGGTGAATCAGGATGGAATCTGGATGGTTGCTTCTCGGTCTCGGCCCCGATCAGCCAGCTCCACTTTCAAACCGGGTCACATTCTGCATGGCACATGACCTGCTGACCCGTGACAAAAGCCAGGAAAAAATATTGAAGCCAGGACTCATTCTCATCGAAATAACAATGCCACACCCAAGGACGCTTCAGTTTCTGATAAACCGTCTTCGATGTCCATTTTTCGAATGCACTACCCTACGCGATCGGGCGTTCCGGAACCAATTGGCGAACCTCAGACTGGTCTCCGCACCTTACCATTCCACCTCTCCGCCAGGGTCAATGTCATGCTACCGGCTACATACAGCAGTCTCCCGCTTCCATTCTTCTTCGAGCCCTACGAGGCAATCACATGACTTGAACGAGCCAGATCGCGAATCAGACCGCGCATTTTTGAAGATGGATGAAGAGGAAGAGGCCGAATTACGACAAATATTGCGCTCGAGAAATCAATCGAATTCTTCCAACTGGCAAGAGCCTGTTTCCGTTTGGCGAAATGATCAGACAGGAGAAATTGAATGGATCGGTGCGGAAGACATTCCAGCTGAGACTGACGCATCAAGTGATACCAATCCATGGTTTGTGGACGAGCCGGAACCTGAGCCTTCCGTAGCACCCGAGTTATCTACAGCCTCCATCTCCAGGCCAGCTCCACCAGCGCCCGAAAACCTCCCCTCTGAATTCCTTCCCCTTTATCGATATCTTATAGACTCCCCATTCGTGGAACGTTCTTCAATCTCTTTCATTGACGCCAAGGCTGAGCCATATGGACAGGGCGAGTCGGCTTGGACAGACTGGGTGGTCGTTGTACAGATGAAGGAAGGTAGAGAGGGTGGAATTCGGGGTGCAACAGAGGCTATTCGAGAGATTGTGAGCCAAATGTCTCTAATGTGTTGTAGGACAGGCATCTGACATTACTTTGAAGTTATCGGCCGCTTCCTCGGCAAAAGTTAGAACCGAGGGGATCTCGAGTAATCCCTCAACCTCATGGAGTATGGTAGATGGGGGGAAAATTGTAGTACATATTCTTACAAGGGAGTCCCGTGACATTTATCAAATCGAGGACATCTGGACTGGTCGACCTTCAAATTCAACAAGCAATTGACGATCAACAGGAACGAATTTTCTTTCAAATTACGTTCGATCAGTAGTCTGATAGGTCACTATTGATTCGGTTGGCGTTCCCGCGATTGATGGATTGGAGGTCGTTGCCAACTAACCGCAATAGGTTGCCATGCATTCAAGGACGGTTTTATCTAGAAATTGAAAGAGTGAATGTTCCGCTTTCGTCCATGTACGTGTACTTGACACACGAGGTGAACTTCATGCTTTTGGATGTATGGCTGAAAAAACGCATACATTGTTCTGTCATCAAGTTGCGCGCTTGGTCAATGTCAATATCTCCCTTGAGGAGATTTTTGAGATGAGGCTTTGCTATAGATTATTGAAATTTATTATTGAAACTTGCCAAATTGTTACAGCATGCGTGTTTACTGCTTCTTTACTTGAGTCCCCATAGGAAATATCAACTGCCATCAACTACAGGTATCAGTGGCAAAAGCCTCTTGTGAATGTCACATTCAATCCGACTCTAGATGTGCACAAATTTTCATCAGTAGGTGAAGACATAGTGGACCAGCATATCCAAACTTATGGCCTACACAATAATCCTGGAAAATTCCGTTTTCAAACTCATAAAATAAGTATTTGATAATATGGAAAGCCCCACACCTGAAATCCTGTTTGGTCAGAGTTGACAAACACCTGTTGAAATACCAAGGTTCACCAGTTTCTTTAAACAAATGTTGGACAAATTCTGACGATGTTGTTTCAAGGACAGTGTACATTTTGGGCAACCTTTTCCTCATTTTGGTTACAACATGAAATGTTATAAATGTTTGGTAATTGCTTTGGAGACTAAGCATATATGTCCTCAGGTGGCCACTCAAATACACACCAGACAATGGTGCGCTAAAACGCTCAGATGTGTAAAAAGACAGTGTACAACACTACTCACGTGGCTATCACAGGAGTGATTTAGTACCATGTATGACCAACCTTGCACCCATTAGGGTAGCAGAAGGCTGTCGTGTTGGTAGATACGCATTGAGTACATCCACAAAGGAGTGCTTTAACTGGTTGTTCCCCTCTACAGGCTTTCAAAAATTAGATATGAATTGTGTGTAGATTCATTGAGAGGTTCTATAATCAATTATATGGTATGATATCAAGGCTCGAGACGTCTAGGATCTCTAGGGAACATGCTTGCTTTCCGGATATTACCTAATCCACAAAACAACATCACCACTCTCTCTAATCCTACTCCTCCACCAGCATGCGGTGGACAACCTAATTTGAATCCATCTACATAACCTTTCATGTCATCAGGATTAATTCCAACATTTTTCATACGTTCGATTAAGAAGTTTGGTTCGTGAATACGTTGAGCACCAGAGATGATTTCTTCACCGCCTAGAAAAATTAATTAGATAGATGGATTAGTTAACCCTTCATCTAAAAGCTTCACAAAGAAGGTCAAAGAGGCTTACGCATGAAGAAATCGTAACTGTTACTCAATGTCTGGAAAAAAAGGATCGAACACGCGAAATGAGTATTCAGGGAAATCGAAGGATGAATCTACAGGAGTTATAAAGGCCTGGTAACTCAACTGGATCAACTGCGTCTGGCATTGTATAGAAAGGTCGGATAGATAAAGGAAATTTGTCGATAATATAGTAATCTGCAGGTGAAAGATGATGATAAGCTTATCCAATAATCGGTTGAAAGGGTTTTACAGTCCATTGACAGGTAAGATATAAAGCTCACCAGTATCATACTACAAAGAGAGCCCATCAAAACAGGTAAGTAAAAGCCCATTTTCAATGGAGGTGTAGAAAGAGGGCTTGATCCACAGGACTTACTTTTGCCTTGATGAGTTTACCTAACTCTCGTTCTTGTTCTGTGCCCATATCTTCTCCAAATTCAATAGCATGTCCATTGTCCTTGAGAATCTGAATAGCCTCATGATGTTTCAATCTGAGAGTCTCGTCAAGGAACTTAAAGTTATCAACCGGATGTTGGCTTTTGATAACTTCAATCTCTTTTGAGCAGTGGCTCTGAAGACCTTTGAAGATATGCAAGAACATAGCATCGAGTAGATCGACTGCCTCGTGGTAATGCTCCTGAAGTGACATCTCGAGATCTAGTCCAGTGAATTCAGCTGTTGTCAAAAGCAAAACCCATATTAGAATACAATCATATACTCGAAAATTGCGGTCTAGCACACACTCAACTCATATGTCGATATGTATTAGAATTTTCAGCTCGGAAGACAGGTGCAATCTCATAAACTCTATCAAAATCAGCAGCAATAGCCATTTGTTTAGCTAACTGAGGAGATTGAGCCAAAAACGCAGGCTGATCGAAATATTGAAGCTTGAATACACTAGCGCCGGATTCAGTAGCAGCTCCTTGGATCTTGGGAGTGTGGATTTCCATAAAGCCTTGACCATCAAGGTAAGCACGAAACAGGTTACAAACTCGAGATTGGACTTTGAAGATCGCATTATTGACGGGTGTCTAAAATATGATGGATCTCGCGTCAGCCTCAATTCATTCCGAATATCAATCAGATTGAGTCCAAAAACAAGATTTAAATATGCTCAAGCTGACTCGTAAATCCAAAACGCGATTGTCCAGTCGAGTATCCGAGCCAACTGTCACAAATTGTTCACCCTCCTGGTATAACAGAGCAAGCGAGTCAGGATCGTGATTGTCTCAAAAAAGAGTATGAAAAGGGTAAGGACAACAGTCTTACTTTGGGGACTGCATCAACGCTTCTACTAGCATCTTCAAGAGAGAATGGCAACTTGATGGGTGCCTCAGCAACCAAATAGACCTTATCCAACTTAATCTCAGCATTCGAAATCGAACATCCCTTTACACCTTCAATAGGTTTTTGTATAACACCCTCTACAATGACAATCGATTCTAAAGAAATCCCGGTGGTAAACTTGACCATCTGTTTTGAAATCGTATCAGGAGTAGCCGAGAGAATTGCCTGAATTGTGGATATTTGTTGTCGCAAAACAAGAAAGCATAACTTTGCGCCTGTCAACAGTCAAAGTAATGGTTCATGAGCTCAATTGACTTTAAAATGTTGTATTGGCATTTGAGCGACTGGTGCATGTTTTTCGAATACTTACTTTGAGAGCGAGAATTGTGTACCCTAGCCTGCAGACGAACCCGTTGACCGACCATGGTGGCGTCAATCTGTTCCACTTTAGTCCACGTGTAAACTTTGATACATATGAAAACCCAAAGTCAAATCCGCTATTCCAAAGATATGCGGGGTACCCATCCGAAAGCAGATATCGGAGACCGACATCAAAAAACTTACGATTTTGCTCTTGACTTTGATTAAGTGGAAGTTTTCCATAATTTTGAGCAGCATAATCCACTTCATTTGCTTCTCGTTTGACTTTCTCCTCTTGTTCCTTTTGTTCACGTTCAGCTTTCTTCTTGGCCTTTTCTCGTTCTTTTTCTAATTTTTTAAGAGCTGATTTGGAAAGAGGTTGACCATCTTCCCTAAGAGAAACCCCATCCCAAATGTCAACTTCATATCACTTTTCTAGAGTCGAAGGATTGTCTCGAATAAAAAGTTACCCTAGTGGGACTGCCAATGCCTCTGCGCTTGGTTTCTCGATTTCAGCCATCGAAGGAGATCGTAAATAAGTGTGGGTGGACGAAAAAGACCTCGTATTCAGATGGCGAGTATGGTGAGTTAAGGTATTTGGTGAGATTCGTAAGTTGAAAGCTCTTGGTATGATAAGCCGTCGAGTTGGGTAGTAAGTTATTTTGAATCTCATTCCACTTCAACTTTCTCCGATCAACCAATTCGAGCCACAAAAACTCCAAGACACTCTATGTGTAGCCATATGTGACCTAACCATGACCCTTCAAAAGCCATACCCCCTCCATTCTTGCGGCTTGCCACCAATCAGATTCTGTGTCAAGTGCAGCTGGGCACAAGGCTTCCTGAAACGCGGGGCATTTTTGGAGTGAAACACAGGGAGGTGCATCTGCAAGGTTGCCTTTTGACTTCATGAATGACATGGGAAGGAAGTGGTGTGCAAGCATTTGAAGGAAGGCTTTCTTAATGACTAAAAAAGCCACATATTCAATCCTTGAACATGTGGTTCAAGGAAATCTGCATGCAACTTCAAGGACACCTCAAAATTTCCAGCTTGCTTCTAACCTAGAAGGTGTGATACAACAAGATTTGTCTGATTTCACAGGATAAATTGTAAGATGATAGATAAACAGTCGCACACCAACCAGCTATATGGCTCTAACCTTCTGGAGTAATTGCAAACTTCTTTCAAAGATTGCAAAAGACATCACCCTTCTGAGCTCAAGGTGGGCTAATGGTTCAAGTGATGTGGCCCTTTACAGTCATCTAGATTTGAGCCCATTAGTAATCAAGCATGAGGAAGCATCCCAATCTGATGAGCCTGTGCACAACCAAATAACAGCCAGACGCTTTTGTTAACCAACTGGACATGATATCCGCTCAAAATGGCAGTAGATCAACAGCAAGCCAATTGAGTCAGTGGATTGGTCTTCAATCAACTATGTAGGTTTCTTTCTTGATGGGCCTCAAAGTTGCGTCCGATGTCATTTGTGAATCTCAGCTGGCTTCCATTGAGCTCTTGTAATGTTCTTCAATTCACCCTGATATGGTTTTATCAAAACCTAGACATCCCTCACAAAATTGGGATTGATAGTGAGACCCTTACTAGAAGATTCAAAATACGACTTATAAAACGTTGATTGCTTGAGTTACTCGAAAAAGGTATACCAACACAATTGGGTAACAGAGGTTCAACGGCTTGACAAGAGTTATCCGTCCCAATCATCGTCATCTTGCATGATTTGCACTGAAGGGCTCACTCGAATGCGAGAGCCAGAAGTGCTACCAGCCGTGCTTTCCACGGGCAAGACTCCTTTAAGAAAGATGAGTACAGTGTAATGATCCTCAGAATGTGAGGAAATAATAACTCACCAGATTGTTTTAAACGAAGTTCAAGCGAAGCTGTGCTGAATCCATCAGTTCCCTCTTCAGTCAGGCCTTCAAATCCAATGATCCTACCATATACGCACAATATCTTCAGCTCCACAGACAATGACTCGAGTGCTCAATACGGACTACAGGATCATCAAGCTTACCGGTCTTTGGTTACCCCATCGAGAAAAACAAACACACAAGGTAAGACCTTAATTTCAAGCTTGTTTACCAGCCATGGTACATCCGCAACATCCACTCTCAAAAACCTAGTGGCAAAGTATCTGGTAGCTATCGACTAGATTTATTAAGTGTCAGTAAAAGCTCGCATCCGAGGCATAACCAAGAAGAACCCCACCTCTAGATGATTGTCCATGATCTTGCATCTCCTGAAATCGCCATGGAAAAAATGAACTACTGCAAATTTGGCTTTCCTGTAGAATTATTTGCAAAGTAAATGCCAAATCAGTCATCATCTATCTGTTCCTGAAGATTTTCATAAAGGATACCTACGCGGTAATCTGGATAACCTCTTTTTCATTCTTGATTTGAAGGTATTTACCATGATGATTCTCTTCCATTTGTTGTCTTTTGATAAACCTAAAAACCATTCGAAATCGTCAACAAAGAACCGTCAACCTATGGCAAAAAGAGAGATATCGATCGTACGAGATACATGTTTTGTCGAAATGATGATAGTGCTAGTAGCTTTAATGATGACAAATGACCAACTCTTGACGTAATTCTTCCATCCTCTTTTCTCTCATTCCACCTAGTTCGAAATCCTCTTCTAATTGGTCTAAGAGATCTTCTTCCCTTTCGCTACCTTCCTTTTCGTCTTCGTCATCCGGATTTCTCTTCTTGAGATAGTTGGCTTTCGAGTCTATGATAGCCATAGTTGGTTATAAACTGAAGTCCAACAGGCTTTTGATCTCTTTTGATCCAGTTGACGGTAATTTGCTCTGACTGACTGACTGACCTAAAAGTTAAAACCCAATCGGACAGGCTTTCTGACTTAAATTAAGTGACCTTAATTACATAGTGAAGATTTACATACACAAACCTGTTTATTACCATGGTCAACTTTTTTGCCAACCCATCAAGTCCATCGACATACAATTTTGGATTTGACCTCAAACCATCTCTGGAACTCACGGGTCTCACGAAACCATAAGTTGTGAAGAACTGAAGACATCCGAATCAATAATGGGAAAATCAGGTGTGTTTTCTGGTCCGTTCAACTAACAATAAAGCACTGGTCGACCATTTAACGTCTCTCTGATAGCCAAATTCTACAAAAGACCCACGAAGAAAGAAAAACTTGGTCTCTCATCAAACTCCGCTCAAATTCGTTCAGCTATCAAACTCAGTAAATTCAACCAACCTGAAAAACCTACAATTTTGAAACATGAACGACCAAAACCATTGGCTAGCTCATCAACAACTCAAACGCACTCTTTGATTCAAGAAGAGGAACAAGAGGTCGAAGAAATGGATATCGATGAGCCGACAAAAAAGAAACGAACAGGACTCAAATCTAAGGTTTTGAAGAAATCAAAAGATTTAGATCCTTCAAGAAAACCTAAAGATTATGTTGATCTATATGATCAACCGGATCGAAGGAAAAAAGGCAAAACTTCAAAGAATCTCAGCAAGTAGTTTGAAGTTTGACCATGGCTATGCGATTTAGCAAACTTTACCTTTCCTTCTATCTTATGTGTGAGTTTTTTCCAGATTGACCTCATCACTCTCTGTTGTTGCTTTGAAATTAACAACTCATGCTTAACACACAGGAAATTAGTAACGTTTTTGTGATGATATTGGCAGTTTATATCTGCAAGTGATGTAATATACCTCTTGATATGTGCTGTCGGGATTGTCACTATATGTCAAGTCCCCAGCCCTCTAATACGGATACTAGTTAAATTCTATCCGCGAAATGCAGTAATCTCTAAGCTCTACTGATCATGAACATCCCCATCCTTTTAAACTCGCACCTGGCAGCTGCATGTTTGAGGTGTGTGAAGAAATTTTCAGAGAAACTCACCGCAAGTTCTTCTCTTCCCGCCCTACAATTAATGTTCACGTCTTTGACTCCATGCCACGACACAAATGAGAAAATATGACTTCTGCGTTTGATGCATGCGGCTTTCATTAGAATGTACGTATGTGAAATGCTCTTGGGCCTGCACCCTAAACATATGTCAGATCAATTAATTTAACAATGTCCCTCCTGCGCGGCCCCGGTCGCGCAGGTTCAATAAGGTACCAAAATCAAGTTTATACGGTGCATATATGTTGAGGGAAGCTTAGACTAAATTTTGGGGAGAGATGCGGTATCAGTCTTTCTCTGAGACTACCTGAGAGAAGCAGTGAGACATACAGGTATAGTTCAATCCCGGTCTGTGTGGCGCGTTTTTTTTTGCATGGCGCTTCCTTCTCTTTATAAGCCTTCCACCAACTACAGAACATCTAGACATCCATTGGTCAATTTCATTGGTCAAAAATAATACATACAAAAGACGATCGAGTTGATAAAATGCAAAATGAGATGTCTTGAAAAGCAGAAGTTGGAAGCATTTTAGGTTGGTTGAAAAGAAGTGATATCGAGTGCTTTTCGTGAAGATTATACATACAAAGAGACAGTTTGAAAAGATGGCGACTGAGTCGTTTTTGAAGAAATCAAGACAACGCAACAGATAGAAACCTCTTACATCAAAGTATCTCGCTCCGATGACAATGCATTGTTTTTCTTGTATCGGTTTTGCTTGCTACTTTCATTCAAAGTAGCTTGTTCCAATAACATTTTGTTGTTTTGTAAGTTGCTTCATTATCAATACTTTGATATGTAAGTGGTTGTAGCGATAGAACCCCCTTGACAATGTTTCAGGGGGATTGGAGTGAGTCTGAAGGTATAGATATAAGGTGCACATGGATGACTCGACAAAGGTTCTTGATTCTTGATGAGGTTATCGAAGTGTTAACAGCTTCTTTGAAGTCTTAATGATGAATTTGTTCAAGTCTTCATACATATGTACCAGTTGCCACCAGCCTGTACAGACAGTGTACAAAAAGCCACCATCCGGTTTACTTTTTTGTTTGTCTCAGGATAGTCTCAGAGCGAGTTAGTCTCAGAAAAAGACTGATACGGTTACGCTCCCAAATTTTGTGAGACAACATCCGGGTCATACACAGGTCCACAGCAGAGGGCGGCTGAGCTCACGATCAGCATAAACGTCAATCCCTGATCCACTATCTCGATACACTTCCAACGCTTTATTTTTTGTACACAGGTTCTCGTATGCAAACACAACTCAGATCGCACGCCTCATACACAGGCCGATCTTTCTAGATCAAATATCCGTCATCCGATTGGCAGATGAAAGATATTCGAGCGTCGTGGCGCACTCGTCTAAAATCTTGGTCAACTCAGGAAAATACTTTTGGAGTCATGAAGGCCATGGGTGGTCATGGAAATGACATGACGACGAAGCCGACCCGGTCCCTAGTGCACAGGAATTACACCGAATCACACTCCCAATGTGGTATAACCTTGCCGATGCTAATATCATCGGGTGACCCGAGTTCATCCATCCGGCCTAATATCTTTATCTCATGGAGCCACACTGTTGACGATTTAAAAGTTTCTTGTGGAAAGGCACGGCCTGAGTGTGAGATGATTCTACATGCTTCTCTATAGACCACCTTCGCTTGTTGAATAGCTATATAAAGCCTCTGAAGGCCACCAGTGTTGAATGTCCAACAGCGTTTTCCTTGCCTGATTCCTTCGATCCTCTTTTTTCCTGTTCAAAATTCATACCTTGTTAATTCATTTCCTTTGAATATTCTCCAGTCTCAGAGTAGCATTATGACTTGCTCGATTTTCTTTCCTTTGCTTATCCTATTCATGGTCATGCCTACTCCAGGAGAACAGGCATCCATCAATACCTCCCCACTAAAACTAGCAGTTCAACCCAAGTGCGGCGCATCGTCTTCGTCTCACTTTAATAATTTCAATTCTGGAATTGATCTCACAAAAATCAAAGTGCGTTATTTTCAGTTCATGATAGACGCGTCACTCTAAAGCCCAGAAGTTGCAGAACTGATAAAGTACATCTCCTTCAGACGATCTATGCATTTGGCGATAGTTACATGAGTAATGGACAAAGCACCGGGACAACCGCGCCACCACCCGTGCAAGGAAACCCCAACGACCCACACTTTGGGTAAGTGACTGGTCATGAGTAATGAAGATGCGTGGCATGGTGAGATCACATCAACTCATTGATATCTCATTTGCACCAGTGGACGGGCTTCGAATGGTCTGGTATGGGTCGAGCAATTTAGCAATGCAATCGGCGCTGTCCTCAAGGATTATGCAATGGGCGGGTCAACTGTCTCTCGAGCGCTCTCCCCTAGCACTGGAAGTGTAAGCTTAAAATCCGCATAGATCTCTGTTGGTCCTCCAAATCCGTCTAACTCAATAGTATGAACATCACATTTCCTTCTGGCGATAGCTCCAAGGAACGGACATGATCCAACACGTCCAAACTTTCTTAAACCAGCACAACAAAATTGATGCGTCTTCGTGAGTTAGACCTCTTCAAAAAAACTTTCAATTCCATAAAGGAGAATCTTTCCACTGAGTCTGTTTCAAAAAATAGCTCCATGACGATGATCTCCTATGGAATCAATGATTATGCCTCAACCGCTCGACAAGGTACTCAAAACCTTCCCAAGGCAGCCCAGGAACTTGTTCGTCAAACTGAACTACTCGTCCAAGCTGGTATTCGGAACGTGGTGATTATTTGTAAGCTATAATTTGAATCATCCCTTGACATTATGAATACTAACAAATTCTCTATGATATGACCTACAGCACCTCCCACGTCAGCTGCCCCGTTGAACAACTTCAACGATATCGTCTGGAACGGTCTGAAAGGATTGCAAACGAAAAATCCCGAACTAAAATATGCTTACGTAGATTTCGTCACGCTTTACTCTGCTATCATTTCTAATCCAAGCTCTTTTGGGTCAGTCTCTCATAGTTATTCTTTTCTTGATACGAGATTCTGACGAAAAGAGAGATTCCTCTTATCGCACGATAGGTACCAAGCCGTTGACTCGTGTCTTCCGACTGACAAAAGTATGGCCGGCGCTTGTCCAAACCCAGACGTACACCTCGTAAGTACTTCATCTCACTGCCCATGATGATATGAATGCTGATGCGTTGTTATGGATGATCATTCACAGTATTACCTCCCACGTCATCCCCAAAAACTCACTCACGGACTTATGGCAGAATGGGTTGAGGACGTGTTGTCAAATTGTAAATGATGAAGAGGACACGACGGCATCCCACGATTGATAAATGGTGTTCTGCAACTCTGTCATACAATGTTCATAATCGTAGTCTCCAGCATCTTCAATGTATCAATTGACTGTGTCATCAAATACTTGAGTTGCCCAGTGGCTTTCCTTACGCTTTACGGCCAATTTCTATGCATGTATGACAAATTGTAACCATCAGTTATCATCTCTTGGAAAAATAAAGCATCCAATCAAAAATGTTCGGATCATCACCGATCATCATTATAAAAAAAATCTACAGATGTAAGATCATGACGAATTCAAAGCCATAAAGTTGATGTAGAAAGCACAACAAACAAGATATACAAATCAGATTAACGAGTGGAGACTGGAATGCGTGAGTTGGTGAGAGATATCTTTTGACAAATAATTTTGTCATCAAGTTTGCTTTTCCCTTCTCAAGAATTGACTTCAAGTTGACCCAGCCAAAGCGTGAGTACCGGCCGACAAAGCTGGGACCTATATGTTTTGTGTTCTTCAATCAATATCTGATAGGCCTTGGTCAGTCTTTTGCGTAGTTGAGCTCATCGACCTTTGTTCTGTTTTTTCTATTATTGCTTCTGAACACTTGAGTTGTTAACCGATGAACTCAAAACTACATGTGTCAAATAAGCACTTCTCACCATGCCTGTTTTGAGGTAGCATGTCGACGTGCTCACACCAATCAATTTCCGTAGAGGGTGGATATAACCTACAAACAGGTCTGAGAGCTAAGCATACAATTGCCTTTGTCAAGAGGTTCAGACAGCAAGATTGTTAAATGGGCTCCTTTGTTCATAGTTCCATTGACAAACGGTACATTTTTGATTGTCCATTATTATTAACAAAGGATTTGCATTTTCTAGAGACAAATTGAATAAAGATCCATTCAAATTTATTACACAACTCTCCGTGTGAGCACATCGACGTGCTCATGGGGGACAGGCATGGTGTCTGGTAAGATAGAATGGTCTCAAGAGCTATTCATTTGATTTCTTAAGTAATTCCCTATTTGATCCATCATTGCCAGGTACAGTTGTTCCAGCAATGGTAGATTTATGTCTTCAAAAATCCTCTCCTGTGCAAAACTCATAGTTTTGGTTCTATTGATTTTATTCTTTTCACAAGGTTGAGCAATATGGAAAGAAGAGGATTATCCCATGAAGATCACGTGTCCTTGTGACCATCACCATGTCAATATCCTTGTAGCACATTTGGAGAAAGGTGTGAGGGTTAGGCTTTTTCCCACAGGGTTTCTTACTGCCAACCCGTGGAAAGATGCTAACATGTCAAGAGGGGGTTGAGTCATTATGAGCCACTTATAAGGCTACTCAAAATATGCTTGTACTCAATGTTGTGTGCTCTTAGATGCTGGCTCAAGGATGGCCTGTGCATCCTCATGCTACAATCCAAATACCAGTACTGAAGGACCCTTTATCATCCTTGCATTCCTTCTCATCTCATTGAGTTCTTACACTGTGTTTGTTCTTGAATAAAATTTGAGGAATTTGTCTGATGCCTTTTTCTTGTAGTTGGCAATCCCATCCTTCATTTGAGCTCTGGCAGTGCCGTTCATTAAGAGAGCCATCCCTTTTGGATCTTCAGCTGAAGCATTGTTATTGTAAGTCATGTCTGCCTCCTCCTCCTCCTCCTCCTCTCCTTCTACTGTTTGAGGTTTGATGAGAGTATTCCTTTCATGGTCCACTTCATGATAATCCATGAGGTCTGTGCTTGATTGCTTCAGCCAGGCTGAAGGAAGGGATGAGAACCAGATATCAGTTTGAGTTCAGGATAGAGTTGAGAGAAAATGACAGACACACCTGCACCTGAAAATTCTTGTACTTCCACCATTTGATCATCTTCATGATTGCCTTTGTCAAGTCGACTCATTGAATTCATAAGCCTTTACATGAGGCACGATATGTGGAGTAAGTCCATGTAAACGTAAACACTAGAAAATGACGCGTAAGAGTCAGATGTTAGGAAAGAAACTCGTGTTAATGTAGTGACGAATTAGGAATAACAAATTCTGTTCCGAGAATGGACGTTACGACGTCTGAACATTCAAATGAGGAACACGCGATATGTCATTAGATAATTAACACTCTAATAGCAGCGAGACAAAAGTTATAAGGAGTAAGAAGGGGAAGATACCATTCCCCGCCCTTTTGCCCGTTTCACTCCTATTAGTTTCAATTCCTCAAATATCTTCATTTTCCAAAGCTACTACAGATTTCAGTTATACGTGTCCCAATAAAACTAATAATCCTGATAGTCTTCATTATCTCTAACTTGATAATATTACATAGTTCCAAGTAGCAGGAAAGAAGATATTCTTTTTTGTCCAACCCACCCTCCCTACAATATTCAGGAGGAACGAAGTTCCTCCTGGCGGGAGACCCCGGATCCCCACGCTCTAGTCTTTTAAAGGAGATATTCCTTGTAAGAAACTATGAGTAGTTAAGATAAACTGCTCATAGATTCTATAACATGAAATAGTTCCCCTTAAAAAACTGGCTTTCTAGAATTTTAGAAGGGATATGGAAATTCCCTGAAAATTCTGAAAGGCCTCTAGCCCACACTGGACCTCCTCTTGACAAGTAAAGACTTGGGGAGGGGAGGCTCAATTCTTAAGGAAGACTATTGAGACACGATATAATGGAGTCTCATCACATCAAGATGCCACTATACTATACTGGTATGAGTATAGTTGGGTATAGTATAGTTTAAATTGTACTATACTATACTCAGTATAGTATCAATTGATCAACTATACATGGACAAGTGTTCAACAAGTTTTCCATCAGCATGTTCAACTATACTGCACAGTATAGTATAGTATATGTTAATGTTGTGTTTGTTGTCTTGTTATGTGTGTGTAAACTTGTGTGCGTCTTTCACTAGGATTCACCTGTGACATGTTGTTAGTAGTGTTTAGCTTGTGCTGATGGCGGACTAGCTAGATTTCCTTGTCACTCTACAAGACTCGGGATCTATAGCTAACGTGCCTTGTCCTACCATTGGCACATCACAGGTACTTATAGTTGCAATGTCACTCTACAAGACTTGGGATCTATAGCTAACGTGCCTTGTCCTACCATCAGCACATCACAGGTACTTATAGTTGCAATGTCACTCTACAAGACTTGGGATCTATAGCTAACGTGCCTTGTCCTACCATCGGCACATCACAGTGTTAACAGGTTATGAGCCTGTGTTGAACTGTAGCTGCATCAATACTTTCCAGATATTCTAGATTCATCTAACTTGAACTCAAAACATATTGAATTTATTTATAGAGTGACCACACATCAAAAGAAAACTTAAATCAGATATTCATAGTGGATATTAAACCAAAAAAGACTTGTACAGCGGCAAGAGTGTTTGCAAATTGTTTTGCAACGATGACAAAGGACCTACCAATCAAATTGAACAGTATAGCTAAGCTGGAGGTAGATGGATCAAACTTCTCAATGTGGGAAAGAAATCTCACCAACTATTTGGCCTTGATTCCTGATGTTGCTGATTATCTGGACCCTGAATTAATCACCAGACATGAAAACTATAAACCTGAATTTGCAGAGGTGGTGAATAGTATATTGTATTGTACTATGCACGATGACTTATCTAGGATAGTAGAAGGTATCGAGTATCCAAGTGGGCGTCTAGCTGAATTATGAAAACAATTTTCAAGAGTGTCATTTGCTGGAAGATGTATGAAGATGGTTGAAATGAATGAGTTGAAGTACAATAGTGCTGCTGGAACATTAGAGAATCATTTGAATGTATTAAGAAAGAAGAAAGAAGAGCTTAAAGTCATTGCAACCGACTTATCAGACAATATGTTTGCAATTATTATTAGAAACTCAATGCCATCAGATTTCCCTAACGTTGATACAGCATTTGAAGACCGTCTAGCTCAGAATCCGACAGCTTTGATTACTGCTAGTGATGTACAGAAGGCTATTTATGTTGCTGATATTCAATATTGACAAGGGAAGGCTCCTGAAGCGTTGAAAGTGACAAGTTGTATTCCACCAAATCATGATCAACGTAACCCATCAGCGTCTACTTCATACAATCCTCAGTACAGACAAAGGAGATATTTTAACTGTAATGGTATTAATCATATTTCTAGTCAGTGTTGAAGAAGACATCAATTTCAAACTTGTGATAAATCTAGTACAAGTGGATCAGTCAAGACTAATGAGGTCAAGTTGGGAATGACTGAATTAGACCTTCAACCTTGGGACAATCCAAAGGATGTTACAGTCAGTAACATTTATCTTAATGTTTCAGTTAAAGATGCAATTGTTGTTTCATGAAGATTTCAATCACTGTGTCCTTGTGGCAGTCGCCCAACGACAAGCGCACACGGAATGCCTTTGTGCCTCAAAGGCGATGTGAGGGGTCAGCTACTTTTTGGCTGACTCTTCACTAAAAAGGTGAAGTACGGGTGGAATAAAGATTAACAAAGTCTTTACTTGGTACACACAAGTAAAGACTTCAGTTAGTTGACCTCTAAGGAGAGGGTTTAAAGCCAGTGGGATGGCTGAGTAATCCTTCAAAGGAGCTTACTCAAGAGCTCTGTTGGGGATAGAGCCTGCAGAACTTTACACTCTGATTGCTCAAAGGTTCCGCCGGATACTTTACACTCAACTCAGGAGGTATCCTATGCAATTCTAAAGCTTGGTTCTATAACTATATAGTCCCACTAGTTTAGAACCACCACTTTAAAGCTTACAAGGGCTTGAGGAAGGTTGTAGAACTATAAGATCAAATACAATAAAATCACTATACTCAATATTCTAGGTAAGAATCAAGTAAGTTGTGATGTGGAATTGTGGAATGATAATAAGTTGGTCCTTCTTCTAGAGTGGGAAGAAGAGGAGTTTATATATTCCAGATCTAGGCGTCAACTTGTGGTTGGCGCTTAGGTTTGCTTTTCTTTGAGTTAGGTTTGGGTTAGGTTTACTATTACTAGTTAAGTCCTAGTAAGTCTTGTTACTTAAGTGCCTCTTGAAACTGAGCCATGAGTTGTAATTCTTATGGTTTTAGACAAGTTTCATATAATTACATATGTATTACATATATTTACATGTGTGTTTGTTAGTCCGTGGTCCTGTACACAGGGCTCAGGGCTGACATTCCCCACCACCAGAGAAGGTTATCCTTCTACTGAACTGCTTTATCCCTCTTAGATGCTCGAAAAGCTCTAAGAGTCACCTTTGAGTTAGGTACTTTATCTCCTGGGAGCCATTCATCCCCATCTGCTCCTGTACCTTTATACCTGACCAGGTATAAGATGGTGTCCTTACCATCCTTATCTTTAACCCGTTTATCTTTGAGTATCTTCAAAAATTTCTTCTCTCCTTCTGGCTCATATGGAGGTATGACTACTACTGGTACCGTCCTTGTTTGTCGAATATCACTAGCCTCAGGAGGAGTGTACTTCTTAATCAGGGAAACTGGAAAAACAGGATGCCTCCTTTCTAACTCGCCATGCAATATCAGTTCCACTGCATTCGTGCCAACTAGTTTTGATATCACAAAAGGGCCTACAAATTGATCTCTTAATTTCTTTGGTCCCTGGATATTATTGAAATTAACAGTGGAAAGCAGTACTTGTTCTCCAACAGAAAATTCAGGTTCTCTATGTGACTTATCCCATCTCTCTTTGTTATACTCTACTGATTCTCTGACACACTTAGTAGCATATTCCCTTGCTCTGTTCAGCATTGTGGCAAAACTTAGCGAGGTAGGGTGAATATCCACATCCCTACTACGAAATTTGTCCCTGGGAAGCCTAGGACAAAATCCTCTCTCTACTTCAAAAGGGCTCTTCTTGGTGCTACTGTGTATACTGCTATTGTAAGCTATTTCTAAAGCAGGCAATAGACTTTTCCAGTCATGCGTAATCCTGTCTTTGTCTTTGTATTCTAGCCCAAACGCACAGTACCTCCTTACCATTTCTGATAAGGTCTGAATCATTTTTTCTGCAAGCCCATCCGTTTGTGGATGGTGTGCCGTAGAGAATGCTAATTTGGTCCCCATTATACTGTAAAGTCCTTTCCAGAACTCTGAAGTAAACTTTGGATCTCTATCACTGATTATGACTTTAGGAAGTCCCACATCACTAATCAGTCTTTCCCAAAACAAAAGGGCAATATCCATTGCGGTAGACTCCTTGTAACACAGCAGAAATCTAGCTCGTCTTGAAAACCTATCAACAATAACCAGGCAAGCATTATAGTTCTCTACTCCTGCTGGTGGAAGTGCTGTGACAAAATCCATATTAATTATCTCCCACGGGTATGTTGGCTCTTGGATGTGTTGTAATAGGCCATACCTCTTTCCAGTAGCTTTATTAGCCTTCTGGCATCTTTCACAGCTGTTAACATACATCTTGGTATCCAGGTTTCTCTTGATCCACCATGCCGTAGTACAAACTTTTTCTAGTGTTTTATCTTCACCCATGTGTCCTGCAAGTATCTCATCATGGCATACTTTGAGCACTTGTTCTTTATGAGCTTTATCCACAAGTACTATTACAGAGGTATGCTTTTCTCTGTAATAGAGTAATCCAGATTGCAAAGAAAATTTTCCTTCAGCGTAAAGTTCCTTCCATGGAGAATCCAAACTGGTAACTAAAGACATATCTATTTTATCTTGACTCATAATCTTAATCAACTTTGTAGTGTTAGGATCGTTATTATAACTCTTCTGAATTTCTTCAAAAAATTCATCACTAAGTTCAGCCAAACTCAATCCCATCACTGGGATGTCAAGTTCTACCTCCTCAGGCTCCCATGCTGGATTGGATTCATCATTGGGTAAAGCCATTCTGCTCAATCCATCTGCATTGTTGTGCATTTTCCCAGGTCTATGTG